CAGATATACAGTCATATAAGCTACATAAAAGGAAAAGCAATACCACAATAGCCAGTAAGAAGGAGAGGAAGAAGCTGCAAAAAAAAAAAAAAAAAACAGAATGTTGATCTTAAACCAGTTATCATACTTTCCTCTGTTCCTAATAAAATAAGCATTATGAGAATAAAAGGAATTATTTAAAGTAGCTCATTTAAGACTCTGAGAAGAGAAAACATTGATATTTCCTGATTAAGTAATCAGCCAATGCTGACTTCCTGAGTGCCAAATAAAATAGCTCTCTCTAGCCAGCCTTCTTAAACCTCTAGCATTTGACAGTGCTGATCACTTCCTTTATGAACTGGCTCTCTCTCTTGGCTTCTGTGACAGATTCTTTTGCTGTTTACCTTCCTCTGACCGCTTATTTCCTTGCATGTTCCATCCTTTTTATACCTTACTCCATCCTTAAAAGGGGATATACCCACAAAGACCCGCTCTTGGCCTTCTGCTCTGGGCACTCTGTGAACCAACCCTTGGTAACTTCACTGCCATGACTTTACTCAAATTCCATGCTGAATACCCCTGGTTTTTCTAGCCCACTGTTCTAGAAATGACCAAGGATATAAGAGGCAAATAATAGAAGAAAACACACAAATGATCAAAATAGAAGAAAAGATGCTAAATTCTACCAAAGCTTAAACAACGGAAGTTAAAACACAGCCCTTTTTGATGATCAATTTGACAATACTGGTAAAGACTGTTTATGCAGGAGCACAGTATTCAGACAGTCACATTCCCATATGGTATTGGAGGGAGTGTAAATTAAACTATCTTTTTTAGGAACACATTGATTGCTCTATCAAAAATGTAAGTATATAAAGCTAGTTATTACATTTCTAAACACTTATCCAACAGAGATTCTTAATGAGACTAATGATATAAGTATACAAAGACTATGTACATACAAGTTAATCACAGAACTGCTTTTAATAGTAAAAAACTAGACATATTCTAAATGTTTACCTAGAGAGGATTATTTAATAAGGGCAGATCCATATAGTGGAATAGTATGCAGTGAGGTAAATACTATCAATGAAAGTATTACTGTTACAGGAGACTGGCAAGTTGTAGAACCATGTGAGTATGTGTGTGTGTGTGTGTGTGTGTGTGCGTGTGTGTGTGTGCATATACACACACATACATATATCTGTGTGTGTATCTGTACATATTATAATCCTATTTCTGCTAAAGAAAACATAAATCCATATCGATCTATATTTGCATATAAGGCTACATAGGAAAGACTATATTTCACAGAGGGATTTTCATCTAAAATGGAGGGAAAAGATACTCTCTCAGTTTAAGACATATGCTTCTCTGGACTGGATTAAAAAATGTGGTACAAATACACAATGGAATATTACGCAGCCATAAAGAAGGACAAGCATATGAACTTTGCAGCAACTTGGATGAGTCTCTCGTACTCAGTGATCTATCACAGAAACAAAGAACAGAGTACCATATGGTCTCACTCATAAGTAAACCTTGAACAATTATCATAATACTATAAGAAAGAGATTGGCAATAGTGGGAAACTGCCAGGGGAGAGGATTAGGGAGATTGGCAGTTGAGGGAAACTACGAGGGGAGGGAGGGGCACACCTCATCAACAAGGGTACCTGTATACCTAACCCTGAATTGTACCCCACATCTTTAAAATAATTTTTTTAAAAAGGCATATGTTTCTGTTTTATTTGGATTTTTTTTTTTTTTTACAATAAGCCTATACTAATTTAATAGTAGTTAAATAACACTCAGATAAATAAGACAAAACATAAAGTAATCATATCGCCCCAAAGAGCCTTCCAGGACTTTCCACTGCTGTGGTATAATGGCCCAACTCTTTAGCATGATATACATGCCAATAAGACAATATCAGTCCTGCCCAACTCTTCAGTCTCCGTAAGTGCTTCTCCTACATGACATTCAAGTCATATCACATTACACATTGTCACAGTGCAGTTTTCTGAACACGCCAGGATATACCAAACTTCTCTGTTTTCGCAAAGACTTCTCCTTTTGCTTATAATTCTCCTCCTAGTTTTCCCTGCCTATTATATACCCATTCACCTCAAACCCCCTCCACATGCAGAAACAATTTTAGGAGAAATAACAATACATGTTAAACAGACAATCAAGTGCCTACCAGTAATTATTTGGAAGCTTTCAGTGCCTCCCATATGTCAGGCATGCTGTTGGATGCTTTAATGCATCATGTGATTTAACCATTAAATGATTTATAATTATTCCTATTTTACAGATGTGGAAATTATCTCAATAAAGTTAAGGAACTGCCCAAAGTTTTACTGACTGGTAAATGTGATAGCCAGGATCTGAATTCAAGTCTGCTTAACTTCAAAGCCATGATCCATTATTCTGAGAAGGGAGACTGAGGCCAAGAGCAGAGTTAATGGACAGGCCTCGAAAAAATGACTGGATACAAGACAGGCAAATTAGTAACCCATGGAACCAGGGGGAACAAATATGGTGAGGGAAAAAGAAAAAAAGTTGTTTCTGGGGAAGTTTGATCATTCCAGGTTACAATGTTCCTTTAACATCAGGCAGAGTTGAGACAGGAGGCAATATGAAGAAACTGTAGACTCTTTGTGTAGCTTAAAAAATCAAAAGCAATGTGTTGGGAAAGTTAGTCTGGCAGCCCTGGGAAGCACAAACTGCAGTGGGGGGAAACAAAGGCAGAGAGAACAGTTAGGAGCTAATGCAAAAACCAATGGCCTCGGCTTGGGTGCCTTCTGTAATCCCAGCACTTTGGGAGGCATAGGTGAGAGGATTGCCTGAGCCCAAGGGTTCAAGACTAGCTTGGGCAACTTTCTCTACAATAAATAAAAAATGTCGGGTATGGTGGTACATGACTGTACTTCCAGCTACTTGGAAGGCTGAGGTGGAAGGACTGCCTGAGCCCGGTAGGTTGAGGCTGCAGCGGTGGTGAGGATGCTACCACACTTCAGCCTGGGTGACAAATTGAGACTCCGACTCAAAACGAACAAACAAACCACCCCCCTCAAGAAAAAAACACCCAATGGTCTCATGTATTTTGGACCCAGACTAGGTTAGTAGCTTCAGAAAAAGGGATGAAAAAGCAAATCTTACAGGCATTACAAAAGATTCTAATGCTAACAATTAGAGGGTAGACTAGCAATGAAGGGAAGAATGGAAAGCAAAGAGTGAAGATTGAGTCTAAGGTTTCTCTTCTGAGGGACACAAAGAATGCCAGCAATCCTGACACAGATGGGACCGTAAGTGAGGGGAGCTCATCTGCAGAGTAGATGTGTTAAACAATGGTGCACACAAAGAAAGAAGCTGCTGTTGACAGAGGCCACTTCTGATGCCTACGGACTGACAGTTCTCATTTTTGGAGTGATATCCTTATGGCCATAACTTATTTATAGTCATTCTTAACATGCCAACAGCATGACACTTAGATCACTTGTGTAAATGGTAAAAGAAAACTTCTTTAGAAATGTGCTAACTCCTTGCTTAGCTAACATAAAGCACTAAGACATGGTTTTAAGGATGCCATGTAGAATTCATCTCACAGTTTGAGTTACACCATGTAAGCCTTACTAAAATTATTCAGTTCCTTCACCAAACCCCCTGGGTCTATTCATCACTCCCCCTCAAAAGGATTTTCTTCCCATGAGGCTAGTCACTGAGGAAAGAAGTTATCTGTTTACCTCCTTTTGCCCTGGATTTCAGGCTCAAGTCTTTTTTTTTTAAATAAACAAAACCACTCTTTCCCTAATCTTTCTCCACTCTCTCTCTCTCTCTCTTTTTTTTTCGGAGTTGGAGTCACTCTCAAAAGCCTCTCTGTCTCTTCTGTTCATCTGACTCAATAATATCATTTACCTCTTTCTGTTTTCAAAGAGTACCTAGTTTAACCTTATCATTCACGCACATATTGTCTCTTTATTCTAATCCAAGAAGACAAGAAGAAACCAGGTCCTCTTCAAATTGCAGAATAACCCAGAACATACCTTCCAAACAGGGTTAGTCCAGAATAAACTATATCAAAGTTTAGCTATAAGATGGAATAATAATGCTTTATGTAAATTATAGGATGACTGTAGTAAACACATCACATAATTATGGCAATAAAATCTGGTATGGTGTACTAGAACTAGGTAAAAAAGATCTGAGGCAGGGATGGTGGCTCACACTTATAATCCTAGCACTTTGAGGAGCTGAGGCAGGAGAATTGCTTGAGCCCAGGAGCTTGATACCAGCCTAGTCAACATAGCCATACCTTGTTACTACAAAAAAAAAAAAAAAAAAAAATCAAAAACTTAGCCAGGTATGGTGGTACACGCCTGTAGTCCCAGCTACTCTAGAAACTGAGATAGAAGGATCACCTCAGGCCCAGGAGGTCAAGGCTGCAGTGAGCCATGATCGTGCCACTGCACTCTAGCCTGAGTGACAGGGTGAGAAACAACTCAAAAAAAAAAAAAAATCTGGTTCCAAAGCTACTTTCAAAAAAGCGGTCCATATTCTCACACACCTGGGACTGCACCAGAAGAAAATACAGAAACACAGAGGTGAGCTGGCAGTCTCAGTCCCACTGTGGGTTGACACCACTCCTAGCAGTGCAATTCTTCTTGTTACAGTACTCAAGTCACAGAACTCATTATCCTCCTGCATTTTTAGAGTACAGTAGGTGTACTCTACACACTAAAGACAAAGAAATAAGCAGGATAAACACTATACTTTGCAAATGAAAGGGAGATGACTTTTAGTGCTTATTACTAAACTATACTTATTATGCAGTACTATTTACAAATCTGTGTAAATAGAATTCAGAAATTTGAAGTCCTACTTGGATTGAAGAGAGAAAAAATACTAAAAGAATATCCGTAGTTTCAGATTATTCCTTTCAATGCAGTAAATAAAATTAGCTTTCTGTTTAACTATAAAAAGTTTCTAGTATTTAATTATAACAGGAAAACAAAGTACCTGTGAGTTTGATTTTAGATAGTCGAGCCAAAATTCCTGGCAAATCATCCACATGCAGCTTCATCTCTTTCCACTGCTTTTCCTCTTTTGTCTCTTTTCCCATCTCTATTGAGTCTTCCACAATTGAGGCAGACTCTAGTTCTATTAATTCCTTTTCATTTGGTTTTCTGGACAAAGATAGGCTGGGCGGTGAAAGAGGTCTCATCTCATATATATCTGGCTTAACTTGACCTGAAGATGTTTTTTCAAGGAAAGGAGCTGCCACTGGTTCAGGCTTCGGTTTTGCTTGCTGGTTGAGGCTTTCATTCAGGTGTGTGACATACTAAACAACAACAGCAAAAAGCACATGTTACTAATAAAACTAAGGCTCTTAAGTGGATGTTTAGCAACATCTTCCGTAAGTCTAGCTTTTATGGTACTTAAAAGCTTTTCCCACAACTTTAATATTAGTTAATTCAACATGCATTTATAGAGTATTTGTTACATGGAACACATTATATTAAGAGATATGGAAAACAAAATTAATGTCTCAGCAATGGTTTTCAAATTTTGAGGTATAGAAAAGTCTACGACTAAGTTTCTTGAAAGAAAGATAAATTTACTTCTTATTCAACTCCTTCAGAATTTATCCTGGAGGTTTAACATTCCAAATACAATGAAAAAGTTTTCTGTAATCAAGTGCCCAAGTCAGCCTACTGACTTTTCATGGTCTTAAGCAAAAAGTGCAGAGAAAGGCTCAGTGGTAGGGCATAATCCAGGGCTAAATGATGTTACAGTGCTATGGTCTGGGGAAATAACATAGGTTTTAGAATCGGATAGTCTCTACTACTTAACAGCAAAAAATTAATAACTACTACTACTAACATTTGTGAGGTACCTCATAGTTTATATGTCTCATTTAATCCTCTCAACAGTTGTTAAAGCAGCTGGATCTTTATTAGCCCTTTGCACTCAGAGACATCTCGCAGATACCAGCAGCAACTCGACCACACTTTTTAATGAAATAGTGAAAAATGAATCACTTCATATTAAACAGTATAGCATTGGAACCAATTATTTTGTTGTAATGATATTTGGCTTAAATGGAATTTTGGCCATTGAGAAACTTATCTGTGACCAAAAAAATCAAAATTTTATATCTTACATTTTCTAACATATGGTAACATGTGAAACAGTCACTGACATGCACTGCAGGTTCATTGATACATGCTGTGCGATAGTAATTTGTTTAACATCTTCCACCTGATGTTTTATTTTATTTATTGTACAGTCTGTTGTTTGAAAATGATGTGAATTAATTTATTGTACAGTCTGTTGTTTGAAAATGATGTGAAAGGATGCACTTATGATTCCTGAAAACCACTTTTCAACTGATTGACCATATCTCAGTATACATTCCATCTCTTTATTTGCTTTTTCATGCAATTTGAATAGAAAACTTCAAGGGAACATATATTTTTGAAAAATCTATGCTTGCATAAGTTTGTCCTGTATAATTGCCAGCAATCTCTTTATGTCCCTTGAGAGGTGACATCTGAGAGGTTTGCTAGATTTACAATGTCCCCTCAGAGGGAACATCTAAGTGCAAAGGGCTAGTATATCTCGCTTTAATTTACAGATAAGGAAATCAAGCCTCAGAAATAAACCAACATAACTGAGAGCCAATAACTAGATATAAGTAGCCCTGGCCATAGAGCCACCCATGCTGATAACAGTTAAGTACCTTTTCCACTAGTCACAAAGACTTGAAATTACATATACTAGTCTTAGACAAGAATTACAAACTCATGAACAAATTAAGAATTTTATTTACATGAAAATGGCATTATACATATTTGAATTTCTCTTAAACATTCAACATCTTTGACCCTCAACTTTTAAAAAGCCTGAAAAATTTCTAGAAATTTAAATATCTTATCAACATGTCAAGTTTTATTAAAATTTAACTTTTAGTTCTAAGTTAAAGAAAAGATAAGAAGTATGTAAAGCAGAACTTTAGATTATGAATTTGCTGTTCTTTCATGCTGGCACTATACTCATTAGTTTTCAGTTATCATTTTGCCATTCTATGACCCTTATCTATTTGAGAAAATGGCAAATGCCCTCGCTGGTAATTAAGAGTAAGCTACTATGTTGCCCAAAATATCACGCAGTTAGCCTACAGTCCTACAAAGATTGAAATATACTATCAATGCCCACTATAGAATGCCTAGCAAATTACAAAAAAAAAAAAACCCCTCAATTTATTTGAATTTACTCAGAAGTGTAAGTGTTAAAAAGACTTTTAAATACTCTGATTTAAGAACATAAGAGGGTCACATCGTTAAAGCAGTTATTTTTGTATTACTGATGTATTCACAGAACTTCAGAAAATTTTAAAAGATATATCATAGCAGTTCACCTTTTCTCAATTTTAGCCTAGTCCAAATATGCCAGAAGTTTTCAATCTTTTTCTAAACTTAATCAATAGGTTGAAGATCATATTTTTTAACCTCAAATGCCAGAATCATTCTGGTTTCAGTTAAGAATAATCAAAACAAGAGATTAAAGTTTTGGATAAACTTAAGAGGACACTAAATAAAAGTCTCTTTCAAGCAGTATTTTTTAAAACTTTTATTGTAATAGGAATTTCTGAAATTCCCTCATACAGAGAAAAGTAAAGGCGGCAGAAAACAACAGAATAAGGATAGTCTTCTAAACATACCATGCGTTTGAGGAAGTTAAAGTGCTGAAATGTAATCCATTGCTTATTGACATTCCTGAAAAGATGCATGAACTTGTGAGGCGATTCCTGTATCACTCTTCTTTCAAAATACCAGACACATCCTCCTACCCAACCTATAATATAGAAAGAAGGGGAAGAAATGTTAAAATGATTAATGCTTTTCACCAAAGGACAGTTGCCACCCGGAAGCAAAGCCAGGCAACAAGTTAAGTGCTACATTGTGTGATGGGTCACAGCTTTGAAATTACTTAATCCAGATTTGTGAATAAATGCAACTTATCAGCCCTATTCATTATTTAAGTAGAAGCCCTAGAGAAAATTATCATTTCAGGATCATTATGTTTTATTATATTGAATGCTTAAAATGACCACACTCCAGATCTTTTTAAGAAGAAAATATAAAACAATCAGTACACTTTTATAAAAGTTAAAAATGAAAAGCACAATTTTACTCAATAAATGACAAAAACTTGAAATGTATCTATTTCAGGTTAATATTTCACCTATGTAGGGTGTGACAACAAGGTGTAGAAAATAGTTCTCAATAAAGTATGAGTATAAGGTTTTTGGCTTTTAATCATTCTACTAAAACTTCTCTCAAATAACAGCAAATCCAATGCTTCTGTCTCAGGTCTCATCTTATTCAAGCCTTCAACAATCTGCACAACACAACAAATTCTCCCATGGTGTCCATGATTATTATTATTTTTTTAGTTGGAGTCTCACCGTTGCCCAGGCTGGGGTGCCGTACAACACTCACAACCACTGCAGTCTCGACCTGCTGGGCTCAGGCGATCCTTCCACTTCAGCCTTCCAAGTAGCTGGAACTACAGGTGTGTGCTACCACACCCGGCTAATTTTTTGATTTATTGTAGAGATGAGCTCTCACCAAGTTGCCCAGGCTGTTCTTGAACCTGTGGGCTAAGGCAATCCCTTCACCTTGACCTCCCAAAGTGTTGGGATTACAGGCTTGAGCCACTGCGCCTGGCAGTGTCCATGATTATAAAGGCTCTTGGTTCTCTGCACTCTACTTCTCAGATTCCTATGGCGTCTCCTCTTGCTGTGCATGCCACTTTAAGACAGTCATGTCCCCACTTTCTGAAGACTAAATATGGTCCCTAAGTGAATACAATTATAGGAAAACTTCTAGTCTTCGTCTCATTTCTAGAGTCATTATGTCTATTTCCATCTACTCTCTTGGTATCTCCACATGGATGGGTTATACAATGTCTTCTGTTTTTTTTTAGATTAGAAAATATAGTTTATTTAGAAAACAAACTAGAGAGAGAGAGAGAGAGAGAGAGAGGAGATTCACCTCCCCAAGGTAGGGGAAGGGGCCAAAGCTTAAGAAAATATGGCCTGGCCACAGCTCAAATAGCACATGGCCACACCATAGCTTAGCAAGGCAATGGCTGCACAATGTTTTTTAAAACACTTTATTCTCAACTTATCTCTGTTACCTATTGCATATAAAACCATTGCCTATTTGAGACTTCAGGAACATCTGGAATGTACCCTGTATTACCCAACAACCATCAAGTCCAGTGAACTATGAAATATAAGTCAAATTCGTCCACTTGCTACCATTTCTACTGATACAGACCCTTATCACCTTACATGTGGATTATGGTAATAGTAGGATTCAAGCCAGTCATCCTGCCTTCGGCAATTTCCTTTCCTTTCCAATCCATGTTCTATAAAGATAATGGTTTTCTTCCTGCATCTCAGAATACACATTACTCATCCAAATATGTACACACAACTAACCAAAGCAATATTGTCTCATGAACCCACCCACATTTCAAAATTTGTTCATCTTTGTTTCCTTGCTTGCACTCCACTCTCTGCCCACCAAATATGCAAAGTTTCTTTTGGCTAGTCTATATTACTTTATACCATGTTTTATGGCAGGGGTCCCCAATAAAAAGTCTGTGACCTGATAGGAACCAGACCACACAGTAGGAGATGAGCTGCCAGAGAGAGGAGCTCCTCCTCCTGTCAGATCAGCAGTAGCATTAGATTCTCATAGGAGCAGGAACCTTACTGTGAACTGTACATGTGAGGGATCTAGGTTGTTTGCTTCTTATGAGAGTCTAATGTCCTTGTTCAAAGAAAAAATTCTCTTCCATGAAACCGGTTCCTGATGCCAAAAAGGTTAGGAACTGCTGCTATGGCACTCCTTAAAGCAAACAGTTTCTATTTGTTTCCACCATAGTATATTATAGTTCTTTGATGACAGGGACTCTCCTTTACTCACCACCTTTGTTACAACTGCTAGCAGAATGTTTTCATATAATAAGGAAATAATGTTTGATGACTGGATAGCCCACACAGTTCCACACAGTTCATCTGGGCTGTCAGAAGGAGAACTACGACTGCTCCTTGGAATACATGGCAATTATCTTAGACTGGAGATAAATCACTTATTCACTGAAATCATATTCTCAAACCTCAGTTAATTATTGCATCCTTATTTTCCACAAACATGAAAATATGTTTGCCTTGGAACCACCTTGGAACACCTCTCAAGATCTTTAAGAAGGTCAAACTGAGATTTTACAGAATGGTAGTAAGAAGAAGAAAAAACCAACAGCAGGAGACAACACTTGTAAATGATGAAAACACTTGTAAATGACTTATATTTCAGAGTTCACTGGACTTGATGGTTTAGTCAAAGCATGTCTCATTTCTATGAATCAGTGCCTAGAAACTGAAAGACATTCCAGCCCTATTTAAACAAATGTAAGTTTGAAGACAACCTGGGCTTACAACAGATACGTTTAAAGTCTGGAAACATATGACCATATCCACTATTCACCATCAACAGTGGCTCATGATTATAGGGCTTTTAAAATTATATGAGGTAAAAAGTAGCTAAAAGGACCTGAAATTTTAAATGTCTATAAAATATTTTGAACTTTTAGAAGGAAAATCAGACATGATACCATCAGATCTCTAAAACATTCCCAATTTATATTATCTGCCACCCTGTCCTGCCATGCTGCTTCTCCATCAAGCTCTCTTAGTGGGTCTCCCAAGTGGATCATAGGAAGTCCTACAGACCACTTACTAGCAGACATTTTGGCAATTATGTTCACAGCTTCTGGAAGTAAGCTGTCTATTAATTCATTCCATATCACCACTGCAAAGACTGATTCAGCCATAAACCATGTGTGCCATATGCAGCCCATCCACTAGAACCAGGGAATTCAGGGCAATCAAGTAGAATTGTCCTGTAGCTGAAAATACAGAACGGAAAGACAGAAAAACAGCTAAACTAAGGGATGCATATTGGATACATACAAATCAGATAATTAAATCAGATACAAATCAGATAATTAACGCACTAAGAAAAAAAGAGTCCTCTGAGAATGAGTGCCTAGGATCAGGATCAAAGAACATTCACAGTCAGGGATGGCAAAATTCAAAAAGAATCATAGACTTAAAAAAAAATTCATAATGGAAAATTGCAGTCATGTAATAGTAGAAGAGTACCATGAGCCCCCATTACTTATCCTCCAGCTTCACCAATTACCAAACCCTGGCCAAACGTGTATCTATACTCCCTCCCCCAGTCCTCCCCACATTATGAACCAGGAGCGACCTTCATGATCATCTCGTTCAATTATTTCCTTTTATAGATGAGTAAACACATTCCAGGCAAGTCAAATGATTTGCCCTAAGATCACACAGACCAGAATAGATCCATTAAATAACATTACTAGAAAGAATGAAGAAAGGAACTTCATGGATTCATAGTGGTCGGCATTGCCAGACAGCACAGAGAGCTTGTAAATGGTAGGTAAGGCCTGAAAAATGTTTCTGGGATATGATCAAAATGCAGTCCCTGGCTTCTCTCTGATCTCTAATATGGATCACCAGCAACACATTCCCCACATAACCATTAGTTATCACCCTAAAATACTGGGGGCAAAACAATTCCCAACGTCCTCTTTAATATCTTCATCAGGACAAAATTCACTCATTCACAGCTACTGACAGCCAACAATATGCTCTAAGCACTGTTCTGGGCATTGAGGATACATAGGTGAAACAGATATATATTATACCTGCCTCCATAAAGTTTATATTCTAACTGGGAGAAACAGATAACAACCCGGTATAAACAATTATGGACTATGGTAATCATAAAAAAAAAAAAGGAATGAGATGATAAAGGTGTTCAGGGTAGGCCCTTCTGAAAAGGTGACATCTGAGCTGAGACCTTACCAAGAGCCAAGAAAGAGTATTCCAGCTTCAACATACATTTGTCACACAGGTTCTTCCAGTGGGAGGATTATATGAGGCATCACCCTGGCGGTATAAAGCCAAAAGTCTGTGGAGGACTATGGCCCACAGTATGCAGCTGTCATCATGTCATTATTGTTATCATCATGAGCCTTTATAATGGAGCAAGGCCTCTGAGTGGGAGCAAAGTACCTCCGTTGTCATTACAAGCCAGTGGCTAGGAAGTGAGGCTCTGACAAACCAAGAGGCATATGGAGCCCTAAGGTTCTACTCTGTCCTCTCCTCCGGCTTCCACTACCTGAAAACCGAAAGCAGCACCACACGCTTCTCCTCCAGGGAAGCCGGATGAAGGAGGCCATGTGGATCACCGGGTCCACGGTGCAAGAGTGGACTCAAGTTCCGTGGTATCTTCACTCCAGGCTACTCCAAAGGTCATTTCCCCTTGCACCGGTGACTAACCGACCTCGCCAAGGGCTCCCAAGGTTGTAGCCAGCCGGAACCCATGGCTTCGCACGTGGCAAAAAGAGAAAAATTTCCCCCAAGGTCACGACCGAGGCAGGTACAATACCTGACAGGAGGCGTGAGGAGAGAGTGTGCGGGGATGCGGCCATAATGTACGAATCTGGCTACCTCCCGGGATCCCCGTGTCCTCTCTCCTCACCGGCTGCAGGGCGCCGCCATCTTCTTTCCGGGCCTCCTGTGGGAGTAGAGACGCTTCCGGGCCATCACTTCCGGTGGGAGGGCCTTGGGAAGGAAGCGTTGTGGCTGGCAGTGATCCGGACGGGATTGGGACGGGAATGCCGGCCTCAAGGGTCTGAGGCCTGAGGTGCATTCCGGATGCGCGAGAAATACGGTGTAGCTACGTCCTTTTGGAGAAACCGCGCGCAGTCGGCGGACCGGCGCTTGCAGCTCTTAGGAGTTGACAGCGTCCTCCCGCCCGCTCCGATTCTCAGGTGACCCGGTGCGATGGGCACAGCTTGGCCGCGGACTCCTCGCCGGCGATTTAAAGTTAGGGTTAGGATATTTCCTAGAGACTGGAGCGCCACGAGGCAGTGGTTCTTGTTGCGGTGTCTCCACCTCCCTGTCTGATCACTCGCAGCTTTGCCATATTCTTATCAAATGAGGGCCCGAATGAACTCGAGGTTACTTGTCCCTGAGCCACACCAAGGGACTCAATCATCAGAATATCTCCAGATGAAGAAGGTGCGTGTAGTGGTTAAGATTTTGGACTCTGGACTGAGATCTGTGTTCTAGTCCTGGCCTTGTGACCTTGTATGAGCAAATTATGTTAAGTCCTCTGACCCTCAGTTATCTAATTGTGCAACAGAGATGATGTATACTGTATAGTATATATTTTATAAAGTGATTGAGAGAACTGAATAATGTCTCTCAAATGGACAACCAGGCGCCTACTAGATATAGGCACTTATAAGTTATTACCTGAATTGGCATTAATGTTGTGATTAGTAGGGAAGATCTCAGCAACTCCTCCCTTATCTCTTTTTCCTGTTAAGTTTCCACAAGTAAACAGTAAATTGAAAAGATTCCGCTTTGGGGGAAAAAAGAGAAATAGGTTCTATAAGGGCAATTCCTATCTGTTTTCGGTGATGAGGTTATAGCCATTTTGTTCACCTCAGCCAACATTGCTAGACACAGGGGATACAGACACCTCCTCCACATCCCCTATTCCATAGGTTCTTACACTAGACTGGTGGGGGCAGTTATCACTGCCATTGTGATAGGGGTAATATAGGAAGTGTTGCAGAAAACCTGATGTATTTCTGTGCAGTTGGGTTAGGGAAAGCTTTGGAGATTTAAACTTGGTCCTCAATGGAAGGAACAGTAAGGTTTTTCCCTGCATTAAAGGAAGGGAAATGCTGCTTCATGAAGATAAAAAGAGCATTAAATGCTACATTTAAAGTTTTTGAACTCCTTATAATTTTCTGCCCTTTTATAAACATGAGATGTTTACATCCAGAGCAAAAGTTTTCCTCTTTATGAGTGACATTAAGACTCAGAGTTTCAAGTAATCTGCTCAGTCACCTAACTGCTGAGGGCCAGAACCAAGACCTAAGCCCCGGTACCTGTTATAGTATTATTTCCACCATTCCATAAGGCTTTATCCACCCAAGCAAAGCCTATCTCAATCAACTGTAGGGCTTTAAAAAATTATCGATGCCTGAACCACCTCCATGCCTATTGAATCTGAAGGGACAATGTGGGGGGGGAGAGATAGCTAGAGAGGGACCTAGTAGTTTTCTTTTTAAAGCATCACTGAGGCCAGGTGCAGTGGCTCACACCTATAATCCCAGCACCTTGAGATTCGAGACCAGCCTGGGCAACTTGGCGAGATCTCATCTCTACAATAAATAAAAAAAATTAGCCACGTGTGGTGGCACATGCCTGTAGTTCCAGCTACTTGGAAGACTGAGGCAGAAGGATCGCCTGAGCCCAGCAGTTTGAGACTGTGGTGGCCATGAGCATGCCACTGTACTCCAGCCTGAGCAACAGAGTGAGACTCCAACTCAAAAAAAAAAAAAAGAAAATAAAAGCCAGGCATGGTGGTGCATGCTTGTGATTCCAGCTACATGGAAGGCTGAGGCAGAAGGTTCACCTGAGCCCAGCAGGTCGAGGCTGCAATGGCCTCCGGCTTGGGCTGGGTGACAGAGTGAGACTCCAACTCAATAAACAAACAAACAAACAAACAAATAAATAAATAAATAAGTAAAGCATCGCTGGTGATTCTGATACACAGAACTTAGCCTAAAAGCTGTGCCTAAAAGATTGATTAATATGAATGCTATATTTCATGAATTTCCAACTTTTCTAGGCTCATGATAGACAAGGGGTTTAATAGATATGTACCCTCTTGGCCAACAGATTTTTCCTTTTTTTTAAATTATTTCCAAATATGGGGACAAGGTATGACCAAGTACATGAATGAATGCATGGGTTTTTATTTATGTATAAAAATCAGATTAAATGTTTTATGGGAGAAAACTTAAAAGATGAACACATTCTGGCTTTACTGGTCAGGAAATGCATTCATTTATCTACTGTTTTAATAAAGTTAGCTTAGATCACCATACATTCTGGAAAAGTAATCCCTGGAAATACTTCTGGAAAGAAGAGGATTCTGTGGTCATATGCATTGATTTGGCCAACTATAGCTGCAAGGGAGGCTGGGAGAGCAAAGAGAAGAGGTTCAGTGATTACTTTAGGCCAGTCACAGTTCATCACTGTGGACCTAGGCATATTGCTGTCTCAGATCAAATTAATGTTAAAATAAGGAAAAAGTAGGGAATAGATTTTGGATATGTAAATAAAAGAATACCACAACTGTCCAACCCATTGTTTTCCAAACATTTTGAACCCATTTTGTGAAATACTATGAAAACTTGAGTCACGCATTCAAGACAAAGCAAAAATGCATAAGCAAACAGTTTTAGGGGTTGAAATACATTGCTATTGACAAACATATTCTAAGGTGAACCAGACTTTCTGTTTTGGGACTATCTTAATTAGATTTACCTTTCTTGGACAGGATTTCATAGACAAATTCTGCCCTTTAGACTTTGTAGATTAATGGGACTTTTAGAGAGGATCCGCCTTTCCTTCCCCCCATACTTCACCCTACACATCTCTTCATCTGTATCCTTTGCATATCCTTTGCAACATCCTTTATAATAAAGTGGTAAAACATGTTTCCTTGAGTTCTGTGAGCCCCTCTCACAAATTAATCAAACCCAAAGAGGAGTTCATGGGAACCCCAACTTGAATCCAGTTGGTGAGAGGTTCTAGAGGTCCAGACATGCAACTGGTATCTGGGAGTGGGGGTTAGTTTTGTGGAATTGAGCCCTCATCCTGTAAGATCTAACACTGTGTCCGGGTAGGTAGTACTGGAACTGAAGGACACCCTGCTGGTGTCCACTGCTTGGTATGTGAAAAGAAACCCCCACACCACAGAAGTCTGGGTTGATGAGTGTTGTGTTGTAAGAGCAAAGAGAAAAACCCTGTTTGGAAGAGTTATTTCCTAAAGGAGGCACCGTGAGCACATTTGGTCCCAATTTATCAGACACAAAATCTGTGATGTGAAGAAAGGAAATTTACTTACTTCATAGAAATATTCCAAAAGATCATCCAAAGCCCTGTGTTCTCTTATGTACCACATTAGTATCTCCATTTATCCACCAGATTATAAATATTCTCTAGGATAAAGGTATCCCCTCATCCCCAAAGAGAAGTGTTGATATGGATAGGTTCAGAATGAGGATATTAATGGACATGCTGCTAAGAGCCAAGCTTTTGGAGAGATGGTCAAAGGAGATTAAAACAATGGGTTTCCACTTGGCATCCTCTCTATGGAGTCAGTCTCTGGAGATTGCTGGCCTTTGCATTTTCCTCTCTCAGCATATACTCCCCACCCTGGCCTATCATCTTTGATGGTTCTTCCACTGGTCACATGACATTGGGAGTGGGTAGTGAAGAGTATGACCAGTGTATGTCTCTTACTTGAGAGAAGTCTCCTGCTTTGAAAGAGGCCCAGAGAAAAAGGATGTTCAGGTCCCTTCTAGTCAGATCCTCCATATATAGTCCTGCTTACCAAAGTTGGGGCTTCCACATAGAAACTTAATGTAATGAAGAGCAATGGCTTTTATCTGGCCTTATTCTCCATTGGAGGTTTAGTAAAGGTCCTGCTACTACAGTGAATAACTCAGGTATAGGGAAGCATAGGGTATTTCAGGACTTGGCGTTTGACTCCCTCTTCATGACATAACACTACTGAATTAGGCAGTGTACAGTCAGGAGAAAGAAATCGCAACCATTATTTGAACAGAAAATTTAACCTAGAGAATTTAACATGATATAAGGTTGTTAACTAAGTAATCCAACGGGTAAAAAGAAAACTAAGGTGTCTGTAACTCGGAAGCAGCTACCACCTCTATGCCTGGGAGAACCAAAAAAGGAGATTGGAATTATTATAACTTAGAATCATAGAGGAGCAGAAATGCAGACCGCCAAGGAGGAGCACTGCACCACTGATGCTATTACTGAGGGACAGCTGACCAAGCTGGTATTTATGTGTTGGGAGAGCTGCAAACGGGGCTTAGCTACTGTGAGGAAGTAAAGAAGCTTTGGAGTGGTGCTCACAGCAACTGCAGGCAGCCTGGAAGCAGACAAGAGGAGCAAGTCCTCCCTGTCCCAGCCTTGCAGCATTCTATGGTTCCTTAAAGACAGAGATGTGATTTGCACATACCCAACTCTAGTCTAGACGCAGTATGGAAGAGTAGGTCTAGAGCCCGGGCAGAGAACTGATGGGATTTCTTTGAATAGGTGTTCCACCCTACATGTACAGATTAAGGTTTACAGTCAGTCTCCTCTGAGTGTGAGTAACTGAAATTAGTTCCTCAGCTCTTTTAATAGTTCTCCCAAGAGACTGATAACATCAGGCTAGGATCCTAGTCCCAGGTAACTCTAATCAGCTGCCCTTTACCCCTTTACTTTCCCAGCTTGATTCTATACATGAGTTTTGGGATACCAAAAGTGAAACATGCAGTTCAGGGTGAAGAAAGAAAAAAGCAGCAGAGAAATGCACTATAGCAAATTCTATTCACTGCCATGGCCGTCTGCCTTTTAAAATAAACAGGACTTCATTTTGTTGAGGAAAGCAAAATGTGCATTTCCAGGAGATGAATCATGATTGCCTCAAGTCAGTCAGAGTAA